GTTCAGCTCCTTTGCTGCTAGATACCCATCTGGCTTCCGTGAATTGAGAACTACGATACGTGAACTCAATACCTGCCTGTCTGGGAATCAGGAAGAGGTCTAGTTTTCATTCTGGAGTAGTAGTGCCATGGAATTTCAATCTCATAGCAGCAGTTTGTTTTATTAATTCTGTTCCAGGATTAGCCAGAAGTGAATTCCCTCATTTTGTTCCCTCACTTTGCTTAAGCCCAGGACACTTGCAGAGAAGGTCTGCACCTTCTGAAGGTGCAGCAGACACCAAGCTGAAGGTCTCAGCCTATAAACATACTGCTTCAACTCCTCACCCCTCAAAATGGATGTCAACAACTGCAATAGTATCCTGATTCTTCTCCGAGGAAGTTTTTTTTTCCTCTATGACACTTCAAATTCCTGCCCAAGTTGTTTCTGTTTCTTTAATACTGGAGGAAGAGAAGTAAACAGTTTGGACTAGGGCAAGAGATGCAGGAAGTTTATCTGCTGCAAGCCAGCAGGATGGCAGTGGCCAGGAGAGTGAGAAGCTCTGGAAAATTCATCTAATGCCTTTCCTAGAAAGGCCTGTGGCACTTTGAGCATGAATGCTGTATATGCTCTGGAGCAACAGTGCACATGCTTTTTTTCTGGTATGTAACTATGGGTTATGGAGAGTGTTGACTTTGTCCTCAGAAGCCTTCTGTCCTCTTAAATACTTGTGCAGAAGCAGAGCATCTGCTCCTTTAGAACTGTAGCTGTATACTGGCTTTCGAGCAGATGCTGTGAGCTTGAGATGCAGAAGGGGAGAGGGTCACTTTGTTCTGCTTACTAATAATGCGTGGCTCTGACACGTGTAAATGCACCGAGTCAAATTCAGTTTACAGCTTAGTTTTTCTGCTAAAGGTGAGTAAGAATTACCTCCTACCCTCATTCCTTCCCAAATCAGTTGAAGGACTTTGTAGGTTAAGGACAGCAGAAGTGAGAGGATAGAGGAGTAGAATTTGCAGAATCTTGAGGTTAACGTTCACCTGCTGCCAGTATGTAAATGGTTGAGGCTTTAACTTCAGTAAGTTTGGATTCAGACCTATAAATTCAATATGTTTTTGAAGGGCTTTTGAGTAGAAAAAGTAGGAGATGTGAAAATGGAATTCCAGTTGCACTCTAGTTTCAGGACTTCGCAGTTAACGTGGTAAAGGTTCATTTACGGACGTCTGGAATCTCTGTCCACGTAAGGCAAAGAACCCATTTTCTACTGGGGGAAGCAGTGCCCTCTAATGATAGATCTTGGTATCTCAAAATGAGAATGAAAAGCCGGTTGTGGGAGCCAGAGCCAGAGAGCTGCGTGTGGAAACTTCGTTCCTGGCTTTGTTGCAGGCAGATGGTGGTTTCGTGGGGCTTTGTGGTGGGTTTTTTAATTATTATTTCATTTCTTTGTTTCATGCAGATGCATTTTCCTTCTGCTGTGCTTTGAGGGCTGGTCGGGGCGGAAGTGGTACAGCAAGTATTGTGTTACAAAGGAAATGCTGGTAGGGCAAATAAACCATGAACTCAGTTTGCATGTCTTTGAACTTGTCATTCTGACAGCAAGGAATGGCTGTGATAAAGGTTTCTAGTTGGCTGAAGCTGCTTCTGTGTGTTGGCTGATACGTCAAATCAGCACAGCTGACTTCTCTAGCTTCCTAACTAGCAGGAGCTGTAATACATAAATCCATGTAATGGAAGCTTTGCAACTGTTGGTATTTACATAGCACTGTGTCTTTGCAGGGCTGGTTTTCATTCTGGGAGCCTGCAACAGCCTCACACTCCCAACAGCACTGCCAGCTCTCTGGAGCTAGAGCATATACAGCGTGGTGGTAGCTGTTTTACTATGATCTTACTCCAGCCAAAGCACCCCTGCCCAACTGTGAGCTTCATGAACTCATTGAAGTGGTAGAAAACTGCCCAGCTTTTCTTCTTGATGAAAGTTTTGTGTATTCTGTGAATCATGTGGAGGTCTGGCAAGCACCAGCTTTGTGCTAAATAAGCAGAGGATCAGAGGAGAGAGGAGAGAAGCAGGAAGTCCTTTCTGGAGGTATCTTATGTGCATTTTGGCTCATTATTTCACGAAACTGTACCCTGAAATGATGTTGGGAGCACAGGCTATAGAGAACCATCCTCTTTTCAGCATCTGAAGTTGTCAGTAAATACATGACAATCTAAATCCAGCTCCCTATTCCATGCTGTTGCCCTTACTTGTCCTGCCTGCCTTTCCCTCTCTTGCCCTCTTCCCTTGTGCTAAGCTGCTTGTGCTTAAAATTGACCAAGTGCATCCGCCAGCAAAGATTTTTCCTATGGAGAGCGTTGTTTCTCAGTGGATGTCGCTGGAGAGGCAGTGAGTTTGGAGGGTGCCTACAACTGCTGCAATTGAAACGTTCAGGAAAGGCAGAACCACGGAAATCAGTGTTTAAAATTATCTTGTCTTCTGTGAAATGGGGGCAACAAATCAACCCAGCAGCTGCCATTCTCTCTGGTACCCGTTTCCAAGCCAGGTACTGATAAAACAACGTGAAGGTATAAAATCAAAGACTGTTTCATCTGGGATGGGGAGGGGGCAGGGGAGAAGATGATGTTATTGATAAAAGCAAATACACAAAATAACAAATTCCTGGCTTTTACCCTTGGGATATGTTCAATTGTAGAAAGAGTGTTTATGGAAGAATATATTGTGCTGTTTAAGCATGCTTCAAAGAACATCTCCTTTCTTACCTTGTAGAAATTCCTCCTAATGGAATTCACTCCCAAGCATCCAGACATCTCAGGGTTTTTCTTTTCTTTTCCTTTTTTAGACCATAAGTCAGTAGAACTGATGTATATTACCCATGGGCCAGTTTGTAGAGGGGTAGCTTAATCTGGGCACGTCCTTACCTTCAATTGCAAGTCTGTTGTATTTAATGGGGTGTTAACTCAGTTTATTCTCTGGGATTTGTGCAGTAATTTTATTGCCTGCAAAAGGAGCAATTTGAAGCCAGATGAAGTATAGGTATACTCTGTAACATACCTGCTTAGCTTGGCAATGATGCCTGGACATGCTTGCCTTATTCTGGTATTTGTATTTTCTCATCACATCTCTTGCATCTCTTTTTCTGGCAGTCCTGCTGTGAGTCTGAGGGTTGTATCTCTATGTACTGCATCTGGTCTGTTTGCAAATCTAATAGCCCATCTTGGACTAATGCAGACCTTTTATTTCTGCAGGCTTTCATGGGCATAAGCACAGGCAGGATTTGGTCTTTACGTCCTCCTCAATATATTCTAGCTCTGACTTGATTTTTGTCCCTGCTCACCTTCAGTCCTGTCCTCCCCTGTGACTGTTAACTAGAGCTGGAGTCTGCTCTTTGGCTCGCATGGAGTTATTCATTTGGTGCTTTCTCCATCTCTCTGAATCCTTTTGACATTGCAGAAATTTCCATTTCTCGTGTGACTGCAGAAGGAATTCCGAGATCCTTTTCAGGAAGCAGTTGTTACACAGATGCAGTTTTGCTTTGGTACCAACCAGCAGTACCGAGTGGCACACAGTATTTCATAGACAATTACTGGCGAGGCATTAAATTTTTCAGTTACACTGTGCTGTAGACTACCATCTACCGAGGCTTACCACACTCTGGGTTTATTATTCCCATCTTGTTTTGTCCTGATTCAGTCCCATACAACGAGAAAAGATGTGTCAAATGTTGTTGGCAATGCAGACAAGCATAGCGATGGACTCTGAAGTCAGCTTGTACTAATAAGGCTATTTGGTAGTTGAGTTCAGTGATGTTGTAGCAGAACCGACAGTGAATTACAGCCCAAGACAGTCATAATGAAATAGGTCCCTGTAATGCTGAGGCACCAACAGAGCAAAGACAGAGGGGAAATCAAAGACAAAGAACAAAAATCAATTTAAAGTTGACTGACTATGCAATGTGGCAGAGTTTTAAAAAGACTTTGCTGGGATGCAGCTGTTCTGTAGAGGAATGGCATGGATCAGCATCCGTGCCTCAGGACAAAGCTGAATTGTTCAGTCCTCTTCCATTGGTGGTCTTACAACTTCCTAGTGATAAAAGCATAGACAACAGTTTCATGAACATTAAAAACCATTTCTCTAGGCAGTATGTGTTTAATGTGAATGAGACACACAATGTCACCTCTGTTGAACTGTGAATGCCTGAAAGCATCCTGTGCTGTTTATGGTTGTTATAGAGGACAGACAGCACTAAACTCATCAGAAACTCTCCTGGAACACACCAGTGCCCTGAACTTATATGAAGTATCAGGTTTGTTTGTCACAGTGCAGTTTTGTTGTCATATGGCTTTGACATTTTTAATCTAGTAGTAGATACTTGACAACTAGACCAACTGTTCCATAGAGCCAAAGCTTCCAAGGAAAGCCTTGAAAGTCATGAAAACTTGGTCACAGGATTTGCTGGAGCCAGGATTTCATCTGCAGTCTTCAGCAGTTGTAGATGTGGTTATGGATTATCAGCCTGTGGGGAAGCTGAAACTGGCTCTGCAGCTTTTCCTGGGCTCATCCAGTATCTCCCGTCCTGCAACAGGGCTTCACAGAGGAATCTGCATGGGGTTCCTCAAGAAAAAAAATCAAAGAGGAACTCCTGCAACGCATTACAAGTCTGTGAAAGCCTGTAAGTCTTCAGCTAAAATAGCAATGCTCTTTCACATATAATGGGGTCACTGTTTCTCTGCTGTGTTTCTCACGTTATTGATACTTACTAGCAGGATTCCAATTTGATGATAAAATATCAGCACTTTAAAATCCTAGCTATGAGAGAGTTTCAAATGACAAAAATATCAGTCCTGTCACTTAAAGAAACACTTCTGTTTTTTCCATTGCTGTGGCTACTTTTTCTTAACGATAGGAAATGTCAATCCAATTGTGAGGCTCTCTAGTAGTAAATTCCTTCAATTCAGTGTCCCGCTATGCTTTTTCACATCACAGGAGATCTGTTGAGAGAAAGGTATCCTCAGGGTGAGGTGGAAGGGCTGAGCCTCCGTCCAGATCATCTGGGTCCAGTGTCCAGGCTCCGAGGCAGACTTTGTGTGTGACATACTATTTCTGTCTCATGGTCTGGTCAACCTATTAGCAAAAGATACTTGGATACTTCAGTGATGGGGATGATAAAAGATGTAGATGGTTCTTGGGCATGTCATTCATTTTTCTCTGCTTCAGATCTTCACTGTGCAAATGAAAAGAGTAAACATCATTCATTTAGACAGAGCGCTGCCTGAACAAGGGGCTGTCTGAGCCTACGTGCCATCAGTGTCCAGGAAATAGCACTGTGATCTGAATCTGTAGGCAGTGTTCTGTTATATCATCTACCTCCAATGAGAGTTTTGCATACAGTTAAGAGATTAGAGATTGGAAATGGTGATTTCTTGCTTGCTTTTTTATTATCATTTCAGGGAGACTTGTGATATGTTTTTTCTCTTTGAGATGTGCCGCCTAAGAGAGCAAATATTGCAGCTGAATCTCGTTTTCATTATTCTGTCTCAAGCTCTGGCCTTTAAGAACGCAAGCAGACATGGTATCTGTACAAGGAGGTGGCAGAGGTCTTGTGTAGTCTTCTCAAAACAGTCCTTTTCTTTGCATGGTGTAGCAGTCAGAAAATGCATCAGGAAAGTAGAGATAAAAGAGAATGAATGACATGAGTGAGTGCAGGAGCCAGAAATAACCTTGTGACTTGGCTTGTTCACCCAGCCCAAAATTACCAGTATAATGAAAGTGTGGGGTTGAGCCATCTTTAAGTGTAGTATAAAGATTTAGTCTGCCTGGACATACATTTGTCAAAACACTTAATTGTGGTGTGGGTGCATTAGTAAAATGAAATGATGCCGTATTAAAATCAGTATCCATACAGTCTTGCATAATTTAACTGTATCAGGTTAGAAAGGGATTTTTTAGCATATCAATGAGCCCTGGCTGGCTTTATTGTCTACAGAGACTGCATAGTAAATAATACATTACCAACGATGTGTTTCTCAGGATCCTAAATTCACCACTCTCCACAATCTCTTATCTTTTCTTCACTGGACTACTTAGTCTCTTCTGAGCTGCAGTCCTGCTCCTCATTCTGGTCAGGTTGAAGCACATTTCCATTGCTTTGTTGGAGGTTAAGAGCAAAGGTCAGGCTGCTACAAGGGGTTTAACTGGGGAGCGTGAATATTGAGCCCTCTTTCAGCTAAGGGAAGAGTTGCACTGCCAGGAAACTCACATTGTGATTAGGAGCTGGTCATCATCATGCTGGGAGGATGGAGCTGTGTACAGAAGAAAACTAGTCAGTCAGAATGGTCTTTGCCCATCTTTTCTACATAAGGGGGAAGTCACAGGTGAGAAATCTCATTTTATTGACCCAATCTGAAGTTGGGAGGGCAAAACAGGATAAACCAGGTCAGGTTTAGGCTTCACTGGTAGCTCTAGAGCTGGCTCAGTTGCTGCCTGTGAGGGAAAGGTTACTGTCAGCACCAGATCTCCCAAGAGACATTGTTTGCTGAGCTTCTGTGATGAGAAGTTTCAGAGCTAGTGTCAGTCTGGATGGTTCATTAGTTTAAATGTCTGGGTTTGGGAGGTATGTTCTCAAGCAAAGGCTTCTAAATATAAAATAGTCCTGTGAAGTTTTCATCTTATGAATATTCACTTGTTGAATTTACATCTTGTTTTTTATCTCTGAGCTGCTAGAACAGAGCCTTCCACAGAGGACAGCCCTCCCATCTGGCTGCATAAACTCTGATGGAAAGATGTTGCAAACCCAGTCCCTTGTTTAATATGTCTGCACCCTTCAGTTGGTTTCTTTCAGAGCACTTTGAAGACGCAGCCATTGAGACATGCAAGCTCTAGTAAACTAGGACTTGAGCAGAGTTTTGGTCTGTACACCCTTGAATGTGTTGACTGAAGTGGTGGAGGCGCAGGTGGAACTTGAGAGACCGAGGTTATTTGGGAAGCTGTTCTCAGCACAGAAAGTTCTCGGTGAACTTGGGAGAGAATAAATACATCCTTCACATGCTTGTTGGGCATCTGGAGTGTGATGCTTAGGAACTACAGGGAGGACTATCTGTTAGGGTGGAGGGTTGTGACTAGAGCTTGCAGAGGTACCTGGCTTCGCTTATCTAGACATGCTTACTGTGGCTGATGACCTGGGAGCATTAGCTATTGCTGTCAGTCCTCTGCTTTTGTATGTGCTGCCATGAGTTTGAAAAAGAATGAAACACGTAAATAAGGGTATGCGTTCTTCACATCCTCCCTCCCAACCCTCTTGGATGCTTGATTGCTTCTAGGCAGAGGGGTTTGTTAGACTGTTCTCATTTACTTTTCTTTCAGCTGTGTATCAAGTTATTTTGTGATCCAGCTTCATGTGGTGGCTAATGGAAGAGAATCGATGCAATTGCTCCAAATAAAGGCTTTTAGCCACTAGATTCTAATTAAAGCAACCTTTTTTTTTCTTTTCAGAGAAGAAAAAAAAGTACCCTTCAAAAAGCTACACTGTCTTTGTATCAGCTGAATACATATGCAATAATTTGCCAGCCTGATGGAGACAGGAGTTGAAATATACTTGGAGCAGTTATGTTCAACCAGATGTACGTGCTGGCACTACCTGGAGCTTATTTCTCCCACAAGGTGATATTTCTACCATGTAATCTTGCTGCTTCCTGCTGTAGGCAGTATTAGGGAGAATGTGTCAGAAAATTTAGTCAAAATGGCTTGCTTTCAGGAAATTCCATTTCAGTTATGCCCGTGGGGAAAGACTGCATAGATTTAGGTGAAAATTCATAGTTCTTGGGTTTGACCAGTTACAGGGGCAAGTCCACACGCCTGATTGCAGGAGCACTTGCATTTACAAATCCTACCCTCAGGTTCTCTAGGGAGATGGTTTCTTTCATCTTGCCTGCTGCTACCATGTGCTTAGTTGTTCAAGCAGGGATGGAGGAGAGGAGCTTTTCCTAGTGGGAAAAAAACACCACACCTATAAAGATGATTATTAAAACTAAGCAGTTAAATTTCATATGTATGGCAGGTTCTTAGTGTGCAGGTGCAGCCATGAAAACAGTGGGAAGGGTCTGCACTGTAGTTGAGGAGCTGTCCTGCCTTGGTGTGGGACAAAGTGCTTGTTGGATAGATTGGGTCTAAACTGGTGGTGATGTTAGGGGGGAATTGCCTTATCTCTAAACCTCGTTTCCCTTCCAAATGGACCTGTACCCTCAGGCTGAGAAATCAGTGCTCAGGAGAACAGAATCATCACAAATGCAGCTTCCAAGTGCCAGGAGCATTAGTGAAAAAAGCAACCCCCAACTTCCTTCTGTATTAGTGAATCTATTTACAAGTCTTACCAAGGTAACTCAGTGCCTGACACAGCCATCCCCAGGAGGAGAGGGTGATGGGGTGAATGAATTGCTGCTAATACCTACTAGCCTCCAGACTTGGTGAAAAGATGTGGTGGATAAGTGTGCAGGAGGCTCAGTACATGAGAACCTCTGATTTTCTTCCCTCTGTAACTGTCCCTGTGCTTCAGAACAGCTCTTCATAATTCCTTTCCTTTACTGTCCTTAAGACCAAACAGCCTCTTACTCCCCACCTGAAGCATTTCGGCTCTGTTGCTACGGAACCATTCCCTATCACTCCCTCCAGAGTTCTGTACGTTATATCCCTGAAAATCCTTCTGTCCAACATCCTGTGGGTTAAAAAAATAGAAAAGAAATTAAAAAATCCTTTCTCGGCCTCTCCCTCTCCCCCCTGGTCCCTTGCACCTGAGCTGGCTCTATCTGTGAAGCTCCAAAGCCTGTAAGTGATGCTGATTGCCTCTGAGTCAGAGAGGCTTTTAAATCTGAGTGTAAAATGAGACTCCTACAGCAGTAAACAGAGTGATCATATACCTCCTTTGAAGTTACCATTTAAATAACCTCCAGGGCTTTACTGATGCAGGAAGCAAGCAAGAGGAAATAATTCCCTCCTTCCTCCCCTCTCCCACTCCCCTCTCCAAAGCAGGGAAAATGGAAATGAATTCCCTGGCAGAGGAGGGACCCTGGTATTACCGAAGAGATGAATGGCTCTCACTTGCAGCTTAGTTAATGAGTCAGCACATATTCATACATGGACACAATTTATTAACCCCTAAACACTGCAGATGATGGTGTTACCGCTCTGATAAGTAATTTTAATTTGCTATGTAATTTATAAGGTAGCTGCTCCATCAGGGGAAGCCTGTGTCCAGGCTTGGTGCCAGGGAAGAGAGAACCAAGGAAACAGGAGGCGTTCTAGCAGGACTATGGGAGCTGAGCAGGTTGCAGACCATTTTGTGCTGGTTCCTCACCCCTGTGTGGTGTTCCTGGTCCTGCTAATTCATGAGAAGGTGGATATGAGTTTTCAGGCCTCTAGCTCTACATCTGAATGTATGCATGGATTTCTCCTAAAGACAGACAGACACATAGCAACAGCACAAGTATGTGTGCATGACATCTGGCAGCACTGGAGCGATGTGCTGGAAATGAGGTCACCCTGTGCTGCAGGATACTGTAATGTTGGGTGGCAGCATTATATACTCTTGAGATTATGGTAGGGTGTTCTTTGTTGGCTGATGGCATATGGCTACCAAATATGAGCATAGTATAACCTTGTAAGACCTTTGTAGTTAGCATGTACTGCAATGATATAATGAGGCAGCTTTCTAGTGAGATAGCAGGGCTACCCACTACTGGAGGGATTGGGAACTGAGGAACCTGGAGAAGTAACACTCCTGTTTGCCTGGCTATTACTTGTTAGCCAGGGAGGTTAACCAGTCAATACCTGAATAAGTTCACTCCTTTGTTAAGTGATTTATTAAATAGTAAGATTTATTCCAATAATTAAATAGAGTTTATTAGTGTAGCAGATTAACTGGAGAATGCCCTAAAGACACCTTAGCGTAAGTCTGAAGCTCACCAAGCTGCCTGAGGTCAGTCTCTGCTGGGATCAGAAATGCAGTGCTTGCGGATTCCTGTGTTTTCAGCTTGCTCTTAAGCAAGTGTTTGGGGCTTACCTTTCAGGAGGAGAAATACGTGCTTGCCTGAGCATGTCACTAGCCAGTCCTTGGCCTGACTGAGAATGTGGGGTGTTCCCAAGCCAATTATACCTGCACTAATCATAATTTGTTCCTTAATCTAAGAGTATTTGCCTCTGTGTCTGTGTTTATGTGAAGTTGCTGAACAATTTGATTAGGTGCTTGGAATAAACTGTGTAATTATGCCATAGATATTCCTGATGCTTGCCTTATTTTCATGCTGTAAGTTACCACTGCCCATTGTTTTAGTGCAGTAGCACATGCTGCTCTTAGAACTGGAGCTCCATTGTGCTAGGTATTGTACAGACGTACAGTAAGAGGCAGTCTCTATCCTGGAGAGGTTACGGTTTTACTGTTGTACAACAGCCCGTTACAGTGTCTTTATAGACATCAGTACCCATAATAGTTCCATGGGTTCCATAGTGGAAATGGCATAGCAGACCTTTTGCCCTGTGAAGGCAGTGGTGTTCCTGACTTCAGCTTTGTCCGTATCTTCCAGCATTACCAGTGCTGAGGTGTTTAGACAGAATTTTAGGACATGGTAGTTTCAAGTGTGCTTGGAACTGGGTGCTTCTGCTTTCTCAGTGAGTCCTCCTGAGGGTGGAAGCATAAAGCCAGGCCATCCTCTCATCCCCACCGCGTGGGTTTCTGTTTTGTCAGATGCATTTTATTGCGAGCTGAATTCTTTCCCAGCTTTTGTATTGCTTCTGCAGATTCCCTTGACCTCGTGCCAATCAATGATGAATTGAACAAGTCCCCATCGAAAACACTGCAGAAGGCAGAGGAATGCCAGCCTCGCTGTGTAGTGCATGAAGTCAAAATATTTTAAGCTTAAGACTGATGGGTATGGTTCTTCTATTTCAGTCTGCTCCTTCAGATTAAAAAGCTGCTGAAAGCATCAGCTTGTCTTGATGCATCTGCTGCTTCATGACCAATGAGTGGCATGTCCAGGACTGGAGGCTGTGGGTAGGAGGATGATATTTTGTGATAAATGTATGTGGTGGTGGTTTATGTTCAGGAAGTTGTTTTTAAAAGCCTTCTGCAGCAAATGATCAATCTGTTGGAGATGGCTGAAATAGCATCCAGCACTCCTTGACTTTGAGGAACAAGGAAAGCCTAAAAGGCCCATAGACCTCTAACATATGCAAAGTCACTTTCTGGTTATGCCTCTTTCTTGCATTCCCCTCTGCTGTGCTGTTACTGTGCTAGATTGGCCATAACTGCAGAATATCATTCTGTAATATGTATCAGATCTCTTATTAATTCTGTAACAGTTCTTACAGTTTTGTGGCTCTGTGATTAAATCTGCAAAGCATTTATATGAAAAACTATAAAGTAACAGATTACTGTTATTTTTCACTTGCCCTGCATTCAGTTTTCAGTGTCAGAGGTTCAATGAGCCACATTCTGTGGTGATGGGAATCAATGGCGGTAGAGTTGATTGGTTTGAATTTGATGGTATGAGACTATCAGGATTTCCCGAGTAAATTGGGAGACTGGAAACATGCTTAAAGACACAGCTGGTAGAACCAGTCTGTAAAACCTTTGAAATGATGAAAAGGCATAAATATCAGGCTGCTTCCTGTCAGACTCCTGTGATCTGTCACAGCACCAGCGGTAGGAGGAGGAGAGGAGCAGAGGCTACAAAAGGCAACCCATATTTCTGGAAATGGCTGGTGGGACTTGGAACTGGTTTTAGCTCGCATGAAGCTTTGGGACTGGGGCCAAGTACTATTTCCGGAATTTGAGGTTGACCCACAGCTAGGATTAAGGGCTTGAATTTCATTTGGTTTAAATCTGAAGTTGAACTTAGCTGACATCCACTTAGTTGGGATTCTAGGAAATCAAAGCAAGCTTCATTGACTGACACGAAACGCAGTTTTCAAATACATTTGAGTCGTATTCCAACAACAAAATGAGAGCCCAAGCTTAAGTCTGACCTCAGTGCTCTCATATCTTCTGTGTTTTGGAACCTGGGAGGAGGGAGGCATAGAGGAGAAGGAGATGTCTGGCAAATAGAAATTCAATTGGCTTAATGTACAGAGTATTTTGCTGCAGCCTAACTGGAGCCTCTTATTAAGAATCTGATGGCACTTCTAAACAGGGAGCGCTGCTCCCTTGGAGGGGGCAATCTCCAGTCATACACCAGCATTGCTTCTGACATATTTATGACTCCAATAAAATCTCCCATCTGGTATATTTTAAAATAAAATTGAAAATTTATCACTTTCCCTTAGTTGGGTTGTCGTTCTCCCCCAGAGCAGATAGCCAGGCTGGGATTGCTGCAGCAGCAACCTGTCAGCCCACGTTAGGCTGAGGTGTGAGGTAAATTTCAATACTTTCCACATTACAGCTGGCTGGGGTGGGGAAATTGCAAGGAGAAAAGCAGAGAGTCTGTTATTTTTATTCCTTAGTCTCTCCTCGTTTGTTTTGATTCTCTTTTGGTTAGCTCTGTGCACGCCACAGTGCACCTAGGGGGGAGAAGGTACTCCCCTTTTATCTGGGTTTCCACAGCCTTTGCTTTGTCAGAGGTACTTGGGAAGG